CCCTCAACAGCTTACCAAAACTCGTTAAGCAGCCCTCCAGCCAAAATAATTGCCTGCACCTGGGTTAGAACCTATGTCTCAAAACCCAGTCAAGTAGCTGCGTTGCAATGTTGTTAGTCCACGCTACAGACTTGAGCCAGAAATAATGCTAAGTTTAAACATGCTTAAAATGGCTTATAACCTAGTTTGAGTGGATGGCATAAGACACAACCAGTCTTACCTCCATTCAGTTAGAACATAGTTAGGCCTGAGGGACCAAGCCCGGCCGCATTGTACATAACAAGGTTAATTGGAAGTGTTTTTAAATCTTGTTTAAGCAAACAGTTTTTTTAAACTTAGTTCCCAGCACAGTGCGAACAGGTTGTGTTCCCCTGGGCCAGTCGAGCTCAGGTGCATTCTGGCACCAACATGCATAGTATGTGGAAGGATAATGCCTGCTATGCACTGGATAAATGCCTCCAGCTGCTCCCATGAAGGGTACAGGAGACAGGCTGAAGTGTCAGTCCCAGAGGGGTTTGGACGCATTTATAGTGCCAAGAAAGGAACAGCAAAAGTGGTCAAGGTTAAAAAAAATGATAGAAGGAGGACAGCGCATCAGCCCGCACCCAGAATGGCTTAACACCCGAATAAGGGAGCAAAAGGGTAATAAGATAGCAGTAAAGTAGTGAAAAATAAGGTAGGTGGAAAGCTCATTCTCCAGGTTTTATGGGTCTCTGTTCTCAGGCCCAATTAACATCTAGTAACCAAGAGATCCAACATAGGGAAATGCTGAGGCAACAAAAAGCTTTGCAGATATAACTGTTCCATGCCAACACATGATGCAGCTTGTAGGCAGCTGGGTCCTAAAGCTTTAAAGAACAAAATGAGGATTCTCTTTCCCAGAAGAGCAATCCACAAAGCTGAGGCACACGGGTTGCAATGGGAAACAAGCCAGTTTGTTTTATTGTATGTTGTGCAAATTCTGCCTGGAGCAAATCAGCTGAAAAGGAAAGAGATGTCAGAGGCACAGTAGGGTAAAAAAGAAACCCATGCCAAGTGATAGCAGCAGCAGAAACAAGACTAACATGGATGGGAACATCCAGGCACTTGTATAAAGCTTACCATCTTTCTGTCTCAGGATCTGGGGAAAAAAAAAAGGGGGGAGCTCCAGGGAACAAGCGGAAACTGAGGCTTAGAGCAAAGGTAGGAGCTGCCCATAGTTACATGGCAAGTCAATCATAGATCTGGAAATGAACCCAGCTCTCTTGTTTGCCAGTCCAAGGCCTGAACTATTGCAGCTTCCTACTCTTGGAATGTTACACTGAAATTTAGTCCACAGGTGGTGATCTGGACCTTGATTTCCCTTTGTGCCCATATGCTGTATTCTTACCCTTACAGCACTATCTGTTCTCCCTTATACCTGTATGGATAGCTGAAGGCAAATCAGTCAAATTTGGTGACTTCAACCTCATCAATAGTTGGAATCCAGCAGAGGGCAATGAAAATGGTTCAGGGGCTGGGGCACATGACCTATGAGGAAAGTCTCAGGAAGCTGGACTTATTTAGTTTGAAGAAGAGAAGACTGAGAGGGGATTTAATAGCAGCCTTCAGCTCCCTGAAGGGTGGGTCCAAAGAAGATGGAGCTGGACTGATCTTAGTGGTGGCAGATGACAGAACAAGAAGCAATGGGCTCCAGTGGCACCAAGGGAAGCTTAGGTTAGATACTGGGAAGAATTTTCTCATGAGGAGGGCAGTAAAGCACTGGGACAGGTTACCCAGAGAGGTGATGAAATTTCCATCCTTGGAGACTTTTAAGACCCAACTAGACAAAGCCTTGGCTGGAATGATCTAGTTGGGGATGGTCCTGCTCTGAGCAGGAGGTTGGTCCCTTCCAACCCTCATTTTTGATGATTCTGAGATTCTATGAATAGGGGTGAAGCAAATTAATTTGAGCTACACAATCTCCACGTGCCAAGAACTGTGACTTTCCATTCACATGAATGACCCTAGTGGTCACTGTATGTTGTCCAGCACTCAAAGAACTGGCAGGTACAAGGAGGTTAAAAGTCAACCTGAAATTTAGTCTGAAGAGGCTACACAGATGCATGTGGCCAGCAAAATCCATAGCATACAAATAATCTATCAAATCTGTATTTGTTCTGAGGAGTGGCAAGCTATAAGGAAGAAATGTACCTGGCAAGCATTTGGTTTATTTAACTTAGGACTATTTACTTGCACAAGTAGAAAATTCAACCTGCTATAATGGCTTTCAGATGCAACTTTAAGTAATCACATTGTACAGGTTTACTGAAGCAACTAAGCCAGGCCCAGCTCATAGACATTTTCCTGCTCATCAGTGGAAGAAAGGAGGTGAAGCTAATTATTGTGGAAGAAGGAGCGAGGCTGGAAAGAAACAGGCAAAAACAGTTTCTTAAAACAATAAAAGAAGAGATTAAAAATCTCACATCCTTAAAGTCAAAAGCTTGTCAGTGTTCTCAAAGCAGCAGCCACCAACTCCAACGTAGCTAGAAGTAGAAAAGGCTTGACGGCTCTCTTCTTTTCACCTTCCTAAATCGCATTTTTACACAAACATGCACAGCCCCTGGTAACTCCAGCACTGCCTCTAGAAGAGGTGCATGTTTCATACGGGTGTTTGAACACGTGGGTCTCCAGGCTAGCCACGAGCACTAATGTAAATGCAACCTGAAGTCAGTGACATACACGAATTAGCAACGCTTCGGTGTTCCAGTCGTCCCCATGCCCATCTACTATTACTACTACTACACAATACAACACTACTTTTCAGCACAGGTTCCTCAAGGCTCTTTACTAACAGCTGACCTTTGCCACTGAACATGGAAGATGGATCTTTTTACCTGTAAGCTGCTTCCCAGTCTGTTCCAGGTAAGTGCTGACCAAAAGCTGTCAACTCTGATGACTGTTCAGTGGACTATGTGAAGGTTATTACATCGTTATCTTGTCAGCAATCCAGTGCCCACAGTGCTAAGGTACCCACCGCAATTGGTGATAACTAACAACCTTAATAGTCCTGGGGGAAGCGAAGGAATGAATGGTTCATGAAATCTCTATTCCCAGCTCATCCCTAAAAGTGATCCCGCCAAGTCAGGGTTAAGACACAGTGGTGGGAAAAATTACTGCTGCTATCAAGAATCCTGTCCTGAGAATAAACAGAGATTTGGTCTCTAGGGCCGTAAATATTTTGCCAGTTTTACAATCACTACATTCACACAACAAGTGAAGCTAAGAAAGAGATAGGCCATCAAGTGAGAGACTTCCGCTCCGTTTGTTGTATAAATTCAATGCATAAAATGCGTTAAAGATGGTGCTTGTGTTATCTGAGGGGCTTTGCAACATCTCTGGATAGTTTTTAATATACCATTTAGATGATAAAAGTGAGGAAGAGGTACTTCATAAATTTGCTTACAGGCGCCCAGTGAAATTGCGGTAGAAGCCAGAATGAAAAAAAGTGTATGATTTCAGATACTAGATCTCACTCACACACACACACACACACACACACACACACACACACAAGACAGCAGTTCCAGAGACGGTTGTTACACACCACTGCCAGTTTCTGCTGGGCCTGGTGCCACAATCATTTAAAGAGATCAAAGACAAATCTGGAAGATTAATCTGGAAATATTCAAAAAGCAACAACTGAGGTCTGTAATGAGAGAAAAGGCAGAACCTGCTTCTCTGAAAGGTTGTCCTTCAGCCTCAGCCAGACTCTGGAACTGCCACCGACTGCACATGTCAATTCATTTCCCTCTCAGCTGGGTAAAATCAAGCTTGAATGGCTGGGATACGTGCAGGGGAGGCGCCAAGGGGCAGCTGGGGGGGGTATAGCCACCCTAAAATTCACCTTACCCCACCTAAGACCCCCGCTTTTGTACCCAGGCCACCGCCCGCCCTCCTGCAGCAGCGCTCCTGGTCCAGCTGAATAAGTATGTTTGGCCAGAAGATGTATAGTGCAGCGCCCCCCCGGCAATTTTCTGTCTAGCCCACCCCAGCCACCCCTCCGGGAAGAGGCTGGTGCTGCCCCTGGATACGTGATGAGCTTCTCAAGGATAAACCAAAGTGGATCAGGAGGGCATAGAAGAGGTCCTTGCTCAGAGATTGCCCAAGGATTTCTGATCTGAACTAGGGGGAATGTGATGTCTAGACCCCTGCTGCCACCTTCTAGGATGCCTCAGATATGTCTGATGGACACTCCTGCTTTGCCTCTGTTACACTTGAATGATGTCTTTCAATATAAAGCAGCACTCCCTGCTTCGAGCCTGTACAACCCTCATCTTCATCAGCAAGTGTTAGCAGTGAAGGACCTCTTCTACACCCTTCTCTATCTCTTTTACACCCTACACTCTTCTACACAGCAAGTGTTTCCAGTAAAAAACTAAACTGAATGCCAAGCTAGAGAAAGCGTTACGTAGGCTGACCAAATCAGCCCACCTTGCTCTGCTGCAAGCTGGTTTCTTCTGCTTTTCACTGTTCCATCTCTAGGCCCCACGGTGTTAGAAGAGGTTTTCAGGGGGAGGAAGAGGACAACACAAACACTTTAGAAACCTTCTTCTGTCTGAACTGCCTGTTCCAGAGAACTACTCTTCTCTCCCCAGCGCACACATCAATTATTTATCACCGACCCTCTGGCCCTATTTTAACGTAAGAAACACCAGGAAGAGAGAGAGAGAGGGATGTCAGGCTACTTGGGGTCAGTATACAAAGCAAAAGACAGCAGAAATCACCTGAAGTGAATACATTTGATGAGATTTCTGAATTCCACAATACCCTGTTAACAGCATCTTGACTTCAGAGGTCCTTCTCTTATTAACCAAATTACTTAAGCCTTCAAAGTTTGGTCTTTACATGGAAACCTTTTGAAAGAAAAAGTGAATAATTTGCATTTGCTGAGTTACCAATACAACAAATCAATAAGATAACCACAATATATATATATTTTTTTATATGTATAAAAAAAAAAAATCAATAAGAAACAAGAGTAGCTATTAAAAACTGTATTTTCCCCAACAGTTACATTTTTAGTCAAAAGATTAAACCACAGAAACACTTCACTTTTCTTCTTAAAAAGATATAACAGCTCAGAAATGCCATAGATACACATGGAGTATGCATGTTAGCTTGACAATGACAGGCCACCACGATCCAGCCCATTCATTCCAGCTAGCAGCCAGAAACACATGTACCCCCTTAAATTAACCCTTTAAGGGCTGCCCCTTTGCACTAAAGTTAAAGTATAACGCCTCTTAGGCAAATGGTTCAAATTTTAAGAATCAATTGGTTTCACCGCTGGTATTGTTTCAATAAGGGAAATCTCATCCAGCCCAAATAAATGGGGCACAAGATTAAATTTTACAGTGAAACTTCACGAAGCTGCTGTGAATCAAAAGGATCATTTTAACAGACAGAATTACAGTTTTTCCCATAACTTTTATTTGTTCAAAATAATTCACCCATGCTTACGAGTCCCCTCTTCTCTCACACATAATCCATTGGTTTCTCTTATTCGCCAAGTTTGTAATAGCATCTGCAACTTTGACATTTCTTGCCAGAGAACAGTCATGTCGTCACAGCCAAGATCCTGAGCTGTTACTCCAAATAGTTAACCGTGTGAAAGGAACTAGGAACACATGAATGGATTTCTGTTTTAAATAGGGTTTGAAATATTTTAAAAATCAGTGCAACCCACAGCAAAGGGTATAAGTATTGTAAAAATTCACTGCACATAAATAGAGAAGGAAGTGCTGGGTTTTAAGCAGCAGCACTAGGAGCTTCAGGATTTTAATATTCTGTGTATAGATTCCTGAAGAGTCAGTGCACCTTTCAGAATTCCTCGGCAGGTTTTTGTTTAAGGCCCTCTCCTTTCACTCAAGGTCTGTGAACCTGCAAGCATCACCTCTACACTCACAATTGGGTCCGTTAATGCAGTAACTGAATTGTTGCAGGTATTAGAGGCATATATGATATTGCAGGTGATAAAGATCTTAGTTTGTTACGTTTTCATGCAATATGAATTCAAGTTTATGGTTGTTAATGTTCCCTCCCTGGAGAACCAAATCCTGTGCAGCAATTAAAGGGTTAAAGCAGAGCTATATGTACTATTTTAAACAACTCATTTATAACTCTATACAAATTTGGCAATTAATGTCAGAGCCATAGATCTCATATTCTTGCAATTCCTGCAAACTATCTACTGCTCCTCTGTCAGAAGCAAAGGGAAAAGCCACCTGAATACCCAGTTTGTCAGCAGGAGTTCATTGCACAGCCCATAGGGAAGCAGAAGCAGGGCTGCTGAGCTCTCTACATTCCAGCTGAGACAGGTAGACTTATTAAAGTCAATATGCTTTCGACGCATGCTCCAAAAAGAGCTAGAGGCCATAGAGCAGATGCATATGGAAAAACTGATTGCAAGGAAAACACTGCAGCCAACAGAAAATTAAAAACACTGTTCTTAAGCCAATCAAAAAAGCAAAGCACGTGTGTGCACATGTATAATAAATATTGCAAAGCACATTTGTCTCTTTCCTCCTAAGTCAATAAATGTAAAGTAATAACCAATGCACCAAAACATCAGCTTTCTGCAATGAAAATTTTGATATCGGCAGAATACCTTTAAGCCAATCGAGAGAAAGCATTTGCATTATCAGCCAATCACAATTTGTTTCCAGTTCTACGCAGCCAATCAAACCCCCTTAAAATTCACAAACAATGACCTAAATAAGCACCAGATCTTGAAAATAACTTCTGTAAAAGTATAAAATAAAATCAGAAATAAAATTAAAGGTTTCCATTGGTCAAGTTTACAAGTTGTCTTCCTTTAGCCAATCACAAACAGTCTTGTCCCTTTGAGCCAATTGTAAATGCACCTCTTGATTCATCCTTGATGAACACAGCCCAGCTGAGTAACAACAGTATACCAGAACAGATGGCTGTGAGAGATGTTCAGAGGGTCGGGCAAAGGGAAGCAAAATAATAAGGAAAAGGAGGAGAAGGGCTACCATGGAAAATTAGGGGTGGGCAAAGGAACTTGATAATGCTCAGCCATTCTCTCCTTTATCTTCGGGAATCTCATTGCCCTCTCCACCTCTGTGTTGTTCAGATGCCCGTAGTTACTGCCTTCTATCTTCTGTCTCTGATCTGGAAAATGCCATCACCACGTCCTCAGCACCTGTAAGCATGTATAAGAAATGGGAGCCAAGATTATTTCATTTAAAGAACAGGTGTTGGATTCAATTTCAGTATTTTCAGCCCTAAGCACAAAAAATATATATAAAATTGGATGAGTTTTGAAGGCCAAAAGTCTTCACATTAAGGAGAATTTTTAAAGACATACATTTTTTGTTCTTTTCATTTGCCTTCTGGTGTTGGAATATTTATGTTTCAGGTTTTAAAGCTTTGCCACAGGGAACGGTGTTGCTTAGTTAAAAGTTAAGATTCTCCAGTTTCAAACCTTGAAGAACTGGGGCTTCAAGGAAAAAAAACCCACCAAAAAGGAATTGGCAACACTGGGACTTGCAGACTTTCCTTTGCTGAGCTCATCATCCTTCAGCTTTGTGCACTGCAAAAAGGTCTTGCTGAAGCTTCTGAAAGTATGAAAAGGACTGTTCAATACAGATGTACTGACCTGTGTCATGCTTTCCCTTTAAAGGGGTATTTGAATATTTTTTACTGCCTGTGCTTTTTTATTTTTAAAAAGAGTTGTCTTCATGGTAGGAGTTCACGCTTTTGTTATTCCTGTTAGAGACTTTTCATTGTCCGGGGATGTAATGTGAGCATGTGTTATAATAAAACTTTGATTTTCTGCATACAATAAATGCAAAGTACTTTCTAAGTATTAGTTGAAGCCTCAGCATATGTGGAAGGAAGGAAAATATTGTCCCTATTTCAACAATGGCAAAACTGAAACACTGAAAAGGTTAGTGACTTTTTGTCAGTCTTGCACCTAAAAACTTCAGACTGTGGCAGGGCAAAGAGTAGAGCCCAGATCTACTGCCTCTCTGTCCTTCCTCTTCTACTGCATGGTCCCAGACTTATATTCTGCAGATCTCTTTCTGCTGGATTGGTTGCAGATGTTTTTTCTGCTGGCCAAGTGAACAAAGCCAGTACGCATTTTGCTGCATAAGCAGCTGTCAATATCTCATTTCCCATGAGTGAGACTACTTATATTAGGAAACATAAATGGAGGCAACATATGGTGACGATTGGAGAAACCCATGTCTGACTTGAAAATGTCATGATATCAACCAGAATTCCTATATGGTTGTTACTCTGAGAGTTGCTGTAACACGAAACACTCCAATGTCAACGTGCATCTGCTTTGCCTAACAGGATCTTTAGCATATCCCCAGATTATAAACAATGGAGAATATTTAACTTCAGTGACTGTGCCTTGACTTGAAAATTCAATGCTAAGGAGGTTGCCTGTGTAGTGAAAGACAGTTGAACGAAAGTTCTCGTTAGGGACCTGCTGAAGTCAAAAGTGGAAATTTCCCCAGCAGAACAAAAATGAAAAAGAAGGGGGTTAAAGAGATTCACAGGTGGAAGCCTCACAGTGTCATGGAAGAAATCTTGGCAGGAGAAGAGAAAAGTAAAGGCTGGGTTACTTAAGAACCAGCCAGGCAAGCTCAGCTGAAAAGTCTCCAAGTTCCAGATGTCAAATAATGAACTGTACAGAAGGATCCTGGACCGTCCCAGAAAACTCAGCACCAGTCCAGAGCGATGAGGAAATTTAAGCAGGAAAATATGTCCAGGTGTCTCCTCCCTGCATGAGGTTAAAAAGCAAGAGAGAGTTTCAAAGCCATTAGCCAAAACGTGTGGAATGAGTTACAATTATTGCATGCTCAAGAAAGGATAAAACATGACTAGGGATGCCCACTACCTTGGGGATCTGTGAGAGGGTTCTTAAGCCATGAGAGATTCTGTGAAGTTGGCACACTGTCTGGGAACAAGCAGCTGGCCTATTCCCAGCAGGGAATGCCACCCTGAGACAATGCCTTGCCTCTGCTAGATTCCACAGGCTGAGGCCTGAGCCCAACATAGGCTGATGAGCGTCCACAGTGGGTGATCTCAACCACATCTGTGATCTATCATGGAAGAGAAGCCGCTGACAATGCAAATGGTGCTTGGGAAAACTGATCCAAAATTCAGGCATCACTGGAATCTCACCTGGTAAGGTGAGAAAACAGGAAACAGCTTATGCTTTTGACTGTGCCTTCCTCTGTATCTTCTACAGTTAGCTTTGAAAGTCCTGATCTGGGAGACTGCTCCGCACCGTAAGAGACGAGTTCATTACCGGGCCCTGAAGTAGCACAGAACGGTCTCTCTGAAACTGGAGGTCTCTCTAACCCACCAAACAGATGCAGTCGGTAGCAAGAGTGTAAGAATCTCCCTCTGCTCTTGCAACATGCTTCTTACAGAAGTTGAGGATGCAATTTTCCCAAATAGTAGTTCAATTTCCATGATACATTTAATTATTAGTCTTTCAGCTGAAGGGCCGATTGCATATGATAACGACCAAAAATCATGCTTCCTAGAAATTGAACGTGGACCTATCCCATTCATTATACTTAGGCCAGTGGTGCCCAACCTTTTGCCAGATGCATGGTGCAGGATTAGTCTGCGGGGCCATATCAAGTCCTGTATGCACCAGACTGGGTGCCACCACCCTCTGCATGCTGGATTGTACCCCGGTCCACACACCACATCACCATCACGGCCTCAGCCCTGCACCAAATATGGGCCCCCTGCCCCAGCCCTGACTCCCTGCATGCTGGCAGGATTTCATGCACAGAGCCATGTTATTTAGCCCATGGGGCTTGGAAATTTGGAAGTGGGGCAGTGGTGGCAGCATAAATTGCCACCACTCCTCCCTGACCAATTTTCAGACCTCTGGGGAGCCCCACAGGCACGATCGCATGCCTCGGTGGGCTAGATGTGGTCCACAAGTTGGGGGCTGAGAACCCCATGTACTTAGGATATGAACAGCCTTTTTAATATGCTACTGGTTTGGTTGGGCTTTCAACTAGGGCCAAATGATTCAATATTTAATGTAATTCATGATCCATCTAGTACCATATAGAATATTTCATTTTGAACATTTTCATTCTTCAAAGGACATTTCCTTTTGGGATATTAAGGAATCAGACAGCTTTCTGGACTTCTTTATGTACAGAGAGGAGCATACCCCCTTAAGTAAAATCTCTTCAGGACATGGGGGAACAAGAGACAACACGGGCGAGTCATAAGGCAGTGTTGTAAAGAAATCTCTTCAGTCTAGACAAGAGCTAAAAATGCTTTAGGGCTGACTAATATTCTTAACTTGTTACAGAACTTCCAGGCCCTAGAGAGGAAATGAAAGCAAAAGCTTTCTTTCATCTGTGGATCCTGTAGCACCATTTATCAAAACGACAATTTTTTTTTTAATTATGTACGTGTAAACTCCAGAAATCCTCTATCTACACTATTTTTGATATCTGGCCAACCATTAAGCTGATCCTAACTATTTAAGTATAACAGATACCACATATGATCTTTGCTGGCCTTTATGAACCAATTAAGTATGTATGAGCTAACTGTTACCTTCAAAGCCTCTACTAAAAGATTAGACAACAGGGAAGAGAGTTTGAGCTCAACCATCTTAATGACCGTCTGCCCCCTCATTTCCCCCTCCAGCTTCCCTGTCCCCCCCGCCCCTCCAAAAAAGTACTAATTTATCTCATGATCCTCTGCTGAAGATTGATCCAAACCAAAGCATTGCATTTCAGAAAGGTATGCATCAGAATGGCACGAGTGGCCTCTGCACAAAGCACATCCCACATCAGAATCTCCTACTCCGAGACAGTTCAACTTTGAGCAGCTTTGGCTGGTAATACATACGACAGAAAACAAGCAATGTCTAAGAAATTCAGCTCTGTCTCGGCTCCCACTCCTCCCCACCCCTGCTGCAGAAACTTAATTCCCAGGCAACATTTTACATTCCAACAGTCTGGTTTAATTCGTTCTTTATCCTGGTGTCAGGAGACAGGACAGCTATCAAGCCCCCGAAAGCCGATTTCTGGCTTCCAAAAATATTTTGTGTTAAGAAAAGCAGTTTTAAAAGGATTAGAGAGACAAAATGCACAAGGGATATTAGCTGAAGTCCTGGGATGAGAATACAAGTGCACCCGGGATGCATTTCAACTAGGAAAACTGCAGTATTGGACGTGGGGTACCCGAAGTGATCTTTTTCAGCCAGGTACTCAAACTGGTTTTCTGTTGGTATGAAGATATGGAAAGCAGATTTACCTTCATGAAGCCAACTCCAGTGCCTCAAAACTGGGTAAGTATTTTTATCCCAATTTTCTGTCATGCACAAAAGCAGTGATTAAATTTGAAAGAACTGTGGAGTCCAGACTCCATGTCACCGCTTAAACTATACTGCAATCTCTGCTGATAATGTAATCCAACACTAAAGTGCTTCTTATGAAGTTCAATGATATGTCTTATACTACTGCACAAGAATCATAGAAAATTAGGCTTGGAAGAGACCTCAGAAGGTCATCTTGTCTAACCCCCTACTCAAAGCAGGATCGTCCCCAACTAGATCACCCCAGCCAAGGTTTTGTTAAAGTTAAAAGTAAGGGCCGAACAGTAATTTTGTTTTTAATTTTGCTGAAGTGCATTAGGAAGTCTGCAGTCTTTCAGTTTTTGATCTCAACGACAAGTTGTCCTTCCTCTGCTCAAGACATGTGTGTAAGACAGCACTAGTCTCTTAATTTAAACAGAGCTGCCAGGTTTGCTTTTTAAAAGGCAGGTACATAATTTAAAAGACTGTTAGCCTCCCCAAAAGAATAGAATTTGACTAGTAAATGTTCTAATAAACAGAAGATGACAAAGTCCCCCACGGGGTATCCAATTTAGTAGGACATGGGTTGCAAGATAAGGCAATATGCCTCAGCTCTGCCATTTCTCTAATTGTTCACCCCTCTTTAAACTAGAGATGCTCTTGCTATGCAATTCCAGAGAAGTAAAGGTCTCCTAGCAACAGCAAAATCACAGATGACATCACACCACGCACAGCAGATGAGCTGGGTTACTTAACAGATGTTGGTGGTTTCTCTTCCCTCTCCCTTCTTAAAGATCTTGCTAAAAAAATTTCTCCTGGCATGTTTTATGTAAGAAAAAAAAGAG